ACTGAAACGAGGTGGTTGCTGATTTTCGTGGTGTGGTGGGTTTTTTTTTTTTTCTTTTCTTTTTTTTTTCCCCTTCTTGTAAACACAACTTGCATCATCAGTACAATAAAACCTCAATGCAAAGGGATTTAGTTGTTTGTTTGTGGTCCTTTTGTGTGCGTTTGTGTTTTTTTTCTGACACCACTTTCATCAGATTTTCAATGCAGCAAAATCTTACCCCACAGATATTCAGGAGGGTTTATTTGTGATGTTCTTTGTGTGCTTGTCTTTTAACATGGCTTTCATCTTAAATGGGAAAAGAATGCCCCACCTTACCAGAGATATTTGAGGGTTGTTTATTTTATGGTCCTCTTTAATTTTATGACTATAACAGAAAAAAAGACCCAAGTCCTAATTTGCCCTTAGGCTCTTTTATACCACACCGGCAATGTCAAAATGTCCTAAGTGGGGTATTTACAGGTGTAATTTATACTGGTGCAGTGTAAAGGTGCCTGAGTAGAAATGAGAAGCGAGCTAAAAATCTTTTGTCTGTAGAGATAATTTTGTATCTGATGAAAACAAGGAATACAAGGACCTGGAGTGATTTATGTGGTGTTTAAAAAAAAAACCCAAAACAACACAAAAACCCCAACCAACCAAAAAAAACCCACCACCCCACCTCGGCGCTGGATCCTTGGCTGTTTGCTTCAAACTGGTACAGCACCTCCGATGCTTTCAGGTGAAGCCCTGGCTTGTGGGCACAAACTGGGATGTGCTGGAGGTGTGCCAGTTTGTGCCAGACAAGACCCTCTAGGCTGCACCCGTCGCAGTATGTGCCTGTGCAGGATCTGGCCTTCTGGCAGCAGGAAGGAGAAGGTTGTCAGCGGGTTTAACTCTGAATTTACACCCAAGTAAAATACCCGATGGAACTGCTCCTCAGGCGTGGGTGCCTTTCCGTCGGGGGCATTTACACCGTCAGTGGTGCAGCGGGCACATCCACACTGAGCCTTTTCCTGATGCCAGAAGCGATGCCCGGGAGCCTGGGTGTAAACCACAGGGAGATCCCACGGAAACACGTTGGGTTTACGCCGTTCTGAGTGAGCAAAGGTTTGGGATGGGTTCCTGCGAAGTAACTGGCGGTCAGAGCAGATGCATCCTACCCCTCTTGTTGCCCTCGTGAACGATGGCCTGAGCTGGGCAGGTGGACCAAGATCTTGAAGCCTTCTCTGTTAGTTTTGATGGATTTGTTTACCTCTGATGCAGGGGGAAACAGAGAGGAGAATGTGGTTGTGCATCCAAATCTCCCCCTGATTCCCCACCCCACCCCTCCCCGGTTTGGCAGTGTCTAGACTCGATTTATTCATTTGTTTTTAGCCAGAGCTAGCTGCTCTGCGGATTAATTCCAGTTAGATAACTGGTCTGGGTGCCCGAGGCTTGACAGTCCTCAAGGGTTTGTTCCTGTATGTTAACATTTGTGGCTTACTAGGGTAATTTGCAAACACATTTACTTTGAGTCAATTGGCAATCAGTTAACTGAAGTTAAAAAGAAAAAGGGGTGGGGGAGGAAATAACCATACAAGCCTCCTTTGCAAAAGGCTTTGGAATCTGTGTTATTGGAAAAAAAAAAAAAAAAAAGAGAATAATAGAAGCTAGGTAGTGGAAAGACAACAAGAAAGGGCTTAATTCTCTCTCTAATATAAAAATCTAACTGGCAGGAGTCTGCCAGGGATCAATTAGCTGATGTCTGCACACTGCCTTAAAGAGTAGAACACTACAGCAAAGTTATATATTATTATAGTTTCTACAGGTCCTTTTCTCCTCATAGTTTTACATTTTTAACACCACCTACTAAGCAGTTTTCTCCCCTTTTAATAATCCACCGAGTAAAGCAGTTTGTTGCATGTTGTTTTCAGATTTCAGTTACTCACGAAGAAAGCCTTTCATTAAAAAAAAAAAAACCAAACCAAAAAAACCACCAAAAAACACCCCAAAAATCCCATACAGGACAAATTTCATTTGAGAAAAAAAAAAAAAAAAGCACATAGGACCATGCTGCTCATCTGGCCAGGATGTAAAGGGCCACAACCTGGTCTGGCTGTGCCCTGTCAGAAGCGGAGCGATGTCAGAGGAGGCTCAGCCCCTATTTAGTTGCGCAAAGCGAGGTCAGGGTTAAGGGTTGAGCTGGGCTGGGAGCCTCGGTACTAAGTGGGTAAATCAGATTTAAGCCCGGCCTGATTTTAGCTGATGTAAATCAGCGCAGCTCTCTTGAAAGTTGGTGGAGTTATCTGGATTTATACTGCTGATGGCTTGGCCTGTTGTCTGCACCAATTTAGAGCTGCTAAAGATCTGGGCCACTGAACCTGCCGGGCTGCTGGTCTTGATGGAGTTGATCTAATTTCCTGTGGGGTTATTTTCTCCAGTTTTTAAGCACAGGATCCCCCATCTGTCTGTCTCTGCAAAGCTGGCTTTCCTGTCTGCAGGCCTGCACGGAGACCCTCCCTCCTCCTCCCCCTGCTTCTCACACCATCGACTGCACCATGCGTCCTTTTGTCCGTTTCTAGATCCTCCCTCCCCCTCTCGCCATGCTCTCTCCTTGCCCGTCTCCCTTTTGCCGTTTTGGGGTGTCTCTCCTTCCCCTCCACACCCCTCATTCTCCTCCTCCCTCGGAGGAATCTCGGTGTGCCTCTCCCTCAATTTCCATCACCTTTCCTCCATCCCTAACTCCCTCCCACCCTCTCCAGCTCGTGTGTAACTCGCGTTTGCCCTCATTCATGTGGATTCCTTGCCACTGTTTCCTTCCATCTGTCCCCAGCATGGAGCCCCCGTCCTTTGTCACCGCTCTGCTTGCATGACCCTTCGTGTCGTCTCCTTGATTGTTTCCTGTCGTGCTGGGCTCAGATCCCTCTCCCCCGACATGCAGTCATTGTCCCGTGGCTTAGAAAAACGCCGAACCCAAGCCCAGCCCTGACAAACGCCTACCTGAGGTCCTTTTGCAAACGAGAGCGAGAGCCTTGCGCTCCTGGGAGGCAGAACGTGGGTCACTGAGGAATTCAGCAAACGCTCCTTCAGTCTGGGGTGACGCATGGGAGTCATTTTCAGCGCGGATGCTTGCAGCTAACACCCCCTTTCTTTCAATGCAACGCTCCGGTGATATCCCTGGGGAAATGGTGGCATCTCGGTTAATCTTCCTAAGATGGAATCTACATCTTTGGAGTGAGCGGCGTAGGAGCGGGGCAGGGAAATGTCTGCCAGAGATGGGGCAGGGAGAGCTGACCCTGCCCTGGGGCTGCGGGAGGACATCGGTGACTCCTTACGGTCTTATCCCACCCTGCACAGGCTCCTTGGGGTGAACCTTTATTCTGCGATGATGTCTGCCTGGTTTTATTCTACAGTTATGTTGTGCCTGGCACAGTAAAGTCCTGTTCCTTGAGTTTCCTAAGTGCTAATTACACAGCACTGTCGATGACCATCAGTCCACATCAGCTGTTTAGAAACTTTACCGAACAAAGCATTGCAAATAGACTTCAGGGTGCAAACTCGGTTGGGAGTAACATGTGAGCTACATTGGACTTGGCAGGGGGTGGATTTGGTTTGGATTTTGGGGATTTGCCCAGCTCCTTCTGTGGGTCAGATCTAGCATTTCCATTCCTCAGGAATGTGAAATTAGTGGCTTAGAGATGGGTTTAATGCAGCAGCGTCGCAATGCTAAGTATTACAGGAAGTTTTGCAGTAACACAAGGCAAGAGACAGCTATTCCTGTTCCACAAATGGGGGGGGACTGAAGCTCCGAGAGCTCAAGTAGCTCTGACGAGTTAGAAGCTGCATCGGGAGTCGACAGCGAAGTCAGGATTTACCAACACGTGTCCTACGGCAATGCCAAGACCCTCTGACGGGCGCTGGGGTTCCGAAGCTATGCCGGGAGGTTTCGTGTTCGCGCAGTCTCCTGCAGTTTGACGAGGCTGCACCCCGGTGCCCATGCGATGTTGCGAGATGCGAGTGTGACCTGTCAGGCTGAGCATGCTTTGTGCAGCTGAAACTATTGGTTGTACTGCGCGCGGCGCCTGCCACCGCTGCGAGCGCGGGGAATTATTCTTGTCAGCCGTAGTGGCACGAGGCTCTGTTTTTATCACTGAAGGTGTGGGGTTCAGTTCTGGCTAATGATACGTGGTGGTGGGATCGTTACGTTCCTGTAAATACCCCGATGTCACAAGTCTGTGTCTCACGAGACAAGCTGCAGAGAAGTGGCAGCACTGAGTGGCAGCCCTGAACTCCCAGCTGGGAGATGTTGTTATTTATTAGGATCTGGATAAATAATAAAGTTCCAGCCCACGAGCTGAGGAATCTTAATTTCTTGGTTGCAGAAGCATCGTCTGCAGGTCATCTCGTGTATGATGTCGGTATAGGGTGTTGAGGAAGACTTGGTGTCAGGCGGTCAGAGGAGAGGACAAGAGGCTCCTTTTAGGTAGAGGAGATGGGGTGGGGAGGAGGTGAGACATCTCACAGAGATTTCAGTGTCACATCCAGAGTCAGACGGCTGAATCCTTGGGAAACCAGGGCAACATGCTCACCTTGCTCCATTTGCACCGGTAGAGATGTGTTGGCCTGGAGAATCACATCCTTTAGTTTTTCTTAGAAACCTGCGCTAAGAGCAGACCTCCCCGCAGAGGAAGCCCCAGTCTGCATGGGAACTGGGTGCCAGGCTTTGAAAATGCCTTCAGGCACTGCGTAAGGCTGTAGGAGAGGGGTCGGAGGGGACAGCAGCAGGGAGGGTTTCCAGAAGGAGTTTAGAAAACTCTGCCACATCTGTAAAAATATTTAGTTGCTTGATGGCATCCTGGTGTCATCTAGGAACCTGGAGTCACACAGCTGGCTCTAAAGCCCTCAAAAAAAACCATTTGGAAGCCAAAACACACTGAGAAGTCTCTTGCCTTTTTTGGAAAGCTTTTCTGAGCTGTAAGAAGCGGGGGGAATAGGCTTGGTGGGCTCCAGGGAGGTGGATGCTGATACGTAAAAGCACTGGCATGGCAAGTGACCTTGGGAAAGGCTCCGAGCGCCCGGACCGCTGTGGTGGGGAATCTTGTGGCCATCAGCGTTTGATAAAGCAGATGGAGAGTCAAGGGCAAACCGCGGCCCCTGGCTGGCTGGGCAGCCACCACGCTGCCTTGGCTGCAGCTCCTGGGGAGCACCAGGAGCAGGGGTCACACACAGTTTGTGGCGGGGCTCTGTGTGGATGCGGGAGGGCAGCCCTGCCCCGTTCCGTGCCGTTTTCACCCCAAAGCAAATACTGGCTTCCTGCTACCCCCCAGCCTTCTAGCAGTGGTGATGTTTGGGGTCCCACCACATCTGAGGTGGAGAGCCCAAATTGCTCTGTCTCTGTTACTCCCCCCTGAAGCTTGCCCCCTGAAAAGTGACCTGGGCCACACTGGATTCATCCCAAAATCTCCCCGGTAGGACCGAAGTGCCTGTGGAGGGCTCTGCTCTCTTGAGTTATGGCAGACGTCTCTCCCCTCGTGCTCCCTGGGAGCTGGCGCGGGATGGCGACGAGGCCTGGCTGTGGACTCAGCATCTCCCTACTTTCTCTGTCATCTCCAGCCTCTCTCACGGCCCCGTGTGTCAGCCAAATCCTTCCTGTCCCAAGAGCCACTCTGACGGGAGGGGGAGCCAGGGCAGCCATTGTCTCTGAGGGGCAGCGTGGCGGGGCCTGGGGGCAGCGTGGCGGGGCCTGGGCCTCAGCAGGGACGGGCTTCCGCACAGGGACCGCTTGGCCCGTGGCGGGGGCTTGAATCCTGCCCCCAGCTCCCTGATGCTTGGGGGGATTGAAAGGGGGACGGTGTCTGAGGGGTGACTGCTGAGGAGCGGCTGATCTCAGGGGGGAGGTGGCCGAGGGGGATTGTGGTGGGGGGCAGCACCCAAAATGGCGACACCCGCCTGCGGGTGAGGGAGCGGGGAGCTCCTGAGGGAGAAGGTCTCTGGGGATGGTGAGGGGGAAACCTTCCCCTGGCATTTCTTCTCTCAGGGTTAGGGGGGAAAGGGCCTCTCCCTCATTTGAGGTCCCCAGGCAGTGGCTGCTGCGTGGTGCGGAGCCTGCTGAGAACATGGCAGCTCAGCCTGGCCTCATGAGGAAGAGGGGAGGGCGGCGGGACAGCCTCTCTAACCTCCCTGCCTTGTTTTCTCTCTCTTCCCCAAGGCTGCAAGATCAAAGCCCTTCGGGCAAAGACCAACACCTACATCAAGACACCAGTGCGGGGTGAGGAGCCGGTCTTCATGGTGACGGGACGGCGGGAGGACGTGGCAATGGCCCGGCGGGAGATCATCTCCGCTGCCGAGCACTTCTCCATGATCAGGGCCTCCCGCAACAAGGCTGGCACCACTTTTGGCAGCGCACCCACCTTGCCGGGGCAAGTCACCATCCGGGTGCGCGTGCCCTACCGCGTGGTGGGCTTGGTGGTGGGACCCAAAGGAGCCACCATCAAGCGGATCCAGCAGCAAACCAACACCTACATCATCACACCCAGCCGGGACCGGGACCCCGTCTTCGAAATCACCGGCGCGCCGGGCAACGTTGAACGCGCCCGGGAGGAGATCGAGACCCACATCGCGGTGAGGACGGGCAAGATCCTGGAGTACAACAACGAGAACGACTTCCTCTCCAGCAGCCCCGACTCCGGCATGGAGAACCGCTACTCGGAGGCCTGGCGAGTCCATACGCCGGCGCCGGGCTGCAAGCCCCTCTCCACCTTCCGGCAGAACAGCCTGGGGTGCATCGGCGACTGCTCTGTCGACCCCGTCTACGAGACCCCCAGGCTGAATGACCAAAACGATTTCAATTACGGTTACCTCTTCCCCAACTATGGCGTGAACAAGCAAGATCTGTATTACGGGGTGCCGGAGTCGGGTGCCCCGATGTGGGCTGGGCAGGAGAACACCAACCCCGTCTCGGTGCTCTTCTCGAAACAGCAGCGGTCCAGCAGCACCGGCGCCATCCACCCGAATTCACATCGCTCCCCGTCCTCCTCCATCCAAGAGCCCAATCTCTCCGGTCTCCCCAGGCGGTCCCAGGGGGAACCACTCCAAGGGTTTTCCAAGCTGGGGACGACTGCCGCTGCCCGGACGTCTGTCTCCAGCAGCCGCGAGTGCATGGTGTGTTTCGAAAGCGAAGTCACGGCGGCTCTGGTGCCGTGCGGCCACAACCTCTTCT